TGTACGAAACAGTAACACGTTCTTTCTTATTCTTATTTTAGAACTCTTTAACGACGCGTTTGCTCCGAAAAAATAATTTGTAACGCGTCAAAAATTTTAAGATTATTCATTGATGTAATTAATTGTTTTCGAGATTTTAATATTTTATCACGCAGTAAATGTACGAAACAGTAACACGTTCTTTCTTCTTATTTTAGAACTCTTTAACGACGCGTTTGCTCCGAAAAATAATTTGTAACGCGTCAAAAATATTTTTTTTAAGATTATTCATTGATGTAATTAATTGTTTTCGAGCTTTTTTTTATTTTAATATTTTATCACGCAGTAAATGTACGAAACAGTAACACGTTCTTTCTTATTCTTATTTTAGAACTCTTTAACGACGCGTTTGCTCCGAAAAAAATAATTTGTAACGCGTTAAAAAATATTTTTTTTTCGCGCGTGTCGTAAATGGCAACCTTAATTGCTGGAATATGAATAACAATAAAAGCGTAAATATCATTTTCGTGTGCTGGTGTTAGGTATTCCCCGTCGGCTAAATGTCGACATGGCGGAGGACTCCGACGGGATCGATCAGCGAAATGACACGGTTATTCGTTCATGGTTTATAGTAGTTTTTGCGTATATAATTATTTTCTCGTCGTTTTCCCTAATTCACAGAGAGAGCAAGTGGGCATATCGATATGAGACAATCAATACTGCGACTTATTAAATACTCTGTAGCAAATGCAATTACAATTGCAATTCCCTTTTTTTCGCGATTTTATTTATTATCTTATTGCTTGATAATAATACATGGACAGAATTTTCTTTTAGAATTTACACTAAAAATCGTGGTAATCGTGATATTGGGAGAATTTTATGTATAAGAGTTTCTCTGATTAATATTTGCCATAATAAAAAATATGAATATGTACATAGTAAAATTAATCGAACATATTTTATATCTTATTGTGAAAGATATTAATATTTTTTATTGTGATGAAAATATTAATCGGAAAAACTTTATAAAATTCTTTCAATACCATATTGTCCCATGATTATCATGATTTCAGGGTACATTGTAAGAAAAAATTCTCTCTGTGTATTAATCAGTGCACAAACACGCACGTTTGGAAATTGAAATTGGAATATTAGAATACACCACTTATATTTTTGATAAAAGACGGATGGCCTCAGTATATTTTTAGATACGTTCAAATTTTTTGACAGATATCTGGCAATAAAGATGATTTATAGTGAATTTCGTTCCTCGTAATAAACAAGCCTGAAGCTTAGAAATATAAAAGGTATTTAAAGAAATAAAGAGAGAAGTTTATATTATACGATTGGATTAATTTCGAGCATTGCCAATTTTTCACGACGCATTTGTGAATTTTTCTTGAATAAAACTTCCTAAAAAATAGCTCCGATTTTGACATAAGAAACGATGAGTATTTAATCTTTCAAGATTTCGTTCTAATTCTAATTTGTTTCGTAAATTTTTATAAAAATCGTATTTTAAAGAATATAGATATTATTTGCCCTCCAGACAGTAAAAGATATTATGTTAACAAAAAGCTTGTGTGCATTCTACTTCAACGTTGTCTAAAGAATAAATTGAACTAGACAATTGAACTACAAACTTTCAATTTATTTTAGAATCTAAATCATATTTTTCCTTTCATTATTAATATTCGCAGTTTTGTTTCTCAATTATTTAATCAGATAATAAATTTTAGGTAATTGTGCAGGATTTTAATGTTTAATGTACTTATCACCAAGGTTCACAGGTAATTTTGTAAAATGGAAAATTTCTTATCTCTATTCTTTGATGATAAAATTTGTGGTATCATTTTGATAGGAATTTTTTTGTGCCTCTCTCTCTCTCTCTCTCTTTGTGTAAGTGAAAAAATGTAAATTCTAGCTCTGCTTACATTTGATAACTAATTTCTCTTATCTAGGTCTGTTGCGTTTATCTAGAGAGATTCCTCTAAATTATTTCCGACACAAGGTGTTATCGAAATATTGACATCGATGCTTTCCTAGTTCGCATGAGAAAAAAAAATGTTAGAAATATACTTATACAATTCGAGAAACTCGCGAAGATGTGGCACTACTCGAAAGTAATTAGCAATTGGCATAAACTACTCTTCGGGATAGCTATTACGTGTATTAAATGGCACGCGAGATTGCATCTACGCAGAGTAAAAGACAGTTTGCCGCGAATAATATATTTCGAAGATAATTTCGATGACATCAGTATGCGAGAAGAATTCAAATGAGATTGTGGGTTGAGAATGTAAGCATGTATAGGTGTGGCTGAATACAGATCGCTTGTGTCTTTCTTTCAATATATTCTATACTTTATCGTAAAGCGACAGAAGAATTGAAAGACACCCACTTGAGGTAAAATTTACATCACGGTGCATTAGACAATAAGAGGGGCTTTGAATATGCATTATATATTATAAAGATATTTGATAATTATATCAAGAAATGAATGAATGATTAAAGCAATTCGTCATAATATGAATCTGATTTTGCTGAAAGAGCCATTATTTTTGTTGTGTATGTAATTTGCGAATAACACATTCTCTCTCCTTTTTTTATTTCTCGTTCTGTCTCAGATTTAAGGTAAGTCTGTGAGGTCTTAAAAATTATAAATCGTGTGTCGTACACTTATCACATTTTAGATTGCATGAAGGAATGATATAAAAATTTAGTGTATAGATAAGATAAAAATCGAAATAGTGAATCCGGAGAGGTATATGTAATATCAATGATATATATAAGTTTTCAACACAATTATGTTACATATACATATGACAATTAAGAGACTGCACTAATAATCATATATCATTTTGATACGAATTTTTTGTGCCTCTTTCTCTCTCTCTCTCTCTCTTTGTGTAAATGAAAAAATGTAAGCCCTAGCTCTGCTTACATTTGATAACTAATAGATTCTTCATACAGTCTAAAAGATATAATAAACACTGATAAGATGCACTTCGATACAAATATTATTTTAATTGTCAGATTGGAAGGATTGATTGATACCAATTTTAACAAAAGTTCAAATATTAAGTTTATAACTTTTAAAGAGCACTTATAGATTTTTTCTAATTATTTAATACATATTTACAAATAAAGATAACCGAGTATGTATGTATGCTTGTGTGTGTGTGACACTTTCATTCAATATATATATGAAGTAATTCATTCAATATACGTAATGTAACAATATTAAAATAATGAATAGTCAAAATACTACACTGAAAAAAAATCATTTGTTAATTTAATTAAACTTTTGAACTAAATATTATTTTGTTAATTGAATATATAAAAATATTTATTATACACAACACATGAAATTTAACAAAACATATATTTGACTTAAACACTAATATCCGTTTAATTACCCAAATAGTATAATTTACCTAAAAGCTTTAGTCAAGTTATAAAATCTTTTTTCTCAGTGTATACGAAAAATAACTAATTCATGACAATCACGACATGTAAATGACATTGTATACCTATGTATCTCCCCGCGTTGTAACCTCGTTGGCTCCATTGCGACCCGACCCATCTCGAGGGGATGCGACTTTTCTCGCGTCTCTTCCGTCGGAGGTTCCACTCTCGCGAATAGTTCACGTTCGATTCACTCGCCGCTCAACGAAATATCGATCGATCTAAACTCATGACGCATCGATTTAAGCGAATCTTCAGGCAAGAAAAAAAAAAAAAAAAAAAAGAAGAAAACATTAAAAAAATCTCTTTGAACGAATAAGAGAGAGAGAGAGAAAACACGCGCGAGATCCGCGAGAGGAGAGACCGCGCGGAGGAGGCCAACGTCATTCACTCACGCACGGAGCAGAGGTGCCGGTTGTCAAACGCGTGGCAGACGACAGTTGACATGACATGAGAGAGGAAGCAAGGCGACGCTCCGCGTCGCGACGGCGCGGCGCGAGCGTCGCGCGATCCGGCTCGGCTCGGCTCGGCTCGGCTCAGCACGGCCCGGCGCGGGCTCCCGTTGAATTGCGCAAGCCAATTTCGCTCCGAGGGATGATCAGGAATCGCGCGCGCGAGCGAGCGAGAGACTCCGCGCATGCGCGCGAGACCTACCTCGCTCGGCTCTAAACACCACCGGAGGGGTAGAAGAGGCGCACCGCGCCGCACGGATACGGTCTACGTGACGATTCAGAAACGAGGCGCGAGGGAACCGACAAGGCAGAGCAGACCTCGCCGTCCCATTGGTCAGGCGCGATACGGTTCCGAGAAAGACTCATTCGGGATTGGCAGAGCCGGCGCCATCGGGCGCGGCACAGTCAGCCGACAGTGGGGTGTGTTTGAACAAGAGCCGCCGCTTCAAGAGTACCGGGGTACACTCGCTAACCGGCCTCCATCCATAACACGGCACACAGAGAGAGGAGAGAGAGACTCGCGTTGGTACGAGGCGGAGTGTGTGGTGAGAGAGGCGGTGAGGTGGCTTCAAACAGGGGCCCCGCTCGATCAAATAACCGACCGCGCGCGCGGACACCGTCGAGCAAGCCCGTCGTCGTAGTGGTTGGTGTTGTTTCGCGCACTCGTCCACGTCGTACAACACGCGTGAGCAAGGCTCTTTCCCTGTCGTCGGCGTCGGCCGTGTTGCCCTCATGGTGTTGGGATAACAATTATCCCCCTATCTCTCCCGCGGGGGTTGCCGTTTTGCGAATACCCTCTCGCGACATACTCTCGCGTTCGCGCTACGTTTTCGTTTCGCATCGAATGCGCATCTTCCCGCCCGAACAAACGGACAGTGTATTGTGTTCCGGGAAGAAGAGGACGGTGTCTTCGACGTTTCGCCCGCGCGAAGGTGGTGTGCTTCGAAAAAGAGAAAGAGACCCTTTTCTCACCTTCTACGAGAAAGGAGAAAACGCGACGAGTTCTCCGTTCGTCGAGAGTTCGTTTCTCGTTCAGTGTTGACGACGAAGAATTTTTTGCGGTGAAGTTTTTTTTCTGGTGAAGAAAGATAGATAGAGAGAGAACTCTTCCAGTTCTGTGCGACTCGAGGAATCTCTGTGACTCGTGGCTCGACGGTCGGGTTAGAGGAGAAGAACCTAACTCGGTCATTGGACGACTCCTGGGGTCGTCCTCAATCGGTGATAAGATTAAGGGAATACCCGACTGTCAGCAGCCGTGGTACCGCGGATTTCATGACAGCCGTTTGACAACGACGACGCGACAGCAGGCCACCTCGGCACCGGTGAGCTCTATGACCATGCTTCAGTCGCAAAAGCTGTACGGCGATGCGGGTGCCATGAGCAGCGCCGCGATGTCCAGCATGGGCAGTATGGCGCCCACGTACAGCTCGATCAACTCGATGAGCTGCGTACCGATGGGAATGTCGATGGGAGTTGGGGTCGGGCCTAGCTGCAGCCCACAAGGCGCCGGAGGCTTCAACATGAGCACCATGAGCTCGGCTATGGGAATGGCGTCGATGGGTGGCGGCGGGATGAGCGGTTACAGCGGCGCTTCCATGGGCACCGGTGGTGCCTGCATGAGCGCCGTCGGATACGGGCCGCTGACACCCAGCGGCGGTACCGGCGTAAGCCGGGATCCCCTGGCTCTGACCGAGCCGGACTCGCCCAATTCGGCGTTACAACGCGCACGAAGCGAGAAATCCTATCGCCGTAGCTACACGCACGCGAAGCCGCCGTATTCCTACATCAGCCTGATCACCATGGCGATACAGAACGCGCCCCACAAGATGCTGACTCTGTCGGAGATCTATCAGTTCATCATGGATCTGTTCCCGTTCTACCGGCAGAATCAGCAACGCTGGCAGAACTCCATCAGGCACTCGCTCAGCTTCAACGACTGCTTCGTCAAGGTACCACGCACGCCGGACAAGCCCGGGAAGGGATCCTTCTGGACCCTACACCCGGACAGCGGCAACATGTTCGAGAACGGTTGCTACCTGCGACGTCAGAAGAGGTTCAAAGACGAGAAGAAGGAGATGACCAGGCAGACCAACAAGCATCAACAGCATCAGCAGCATCAGGCGACGGCCGCGGCGGTCGCGGCCGCGACCGGAGCGACTATCGCGGGCCAACATAGTCCGCCCACTCACGAAGGCGCGCCTGGTACCAAGAAGACCGGCTCGTCCATCCACCACGGCGGTCCACCGCAACAGGACGACAAAGATCTGCACTCGTTGGTATCCTCCCATCACCATCATCACACCGCCGGACTCCATCAGCACCACACAACTCTGAAGAGCGACACCACCGACATCGGCGGTCTCTTGGTACCGGATCTCGGTGCCGCGCACGACGAACTCACCGCCATGGTCAGCCGTAGTCTCCATCCGCATCTGTTATCCGAAACCGCGACCCTACATCACAACATGACGGGTAGCTTGAAGCAGGAACCGCTTTACGGTACCGCCGCGGCCAATCATCCCTTCAGCATCAACAGGTTACTACCGCGAGACACGACTGGTACCTCGCCAGGCGCCCAGGATACCAAACCACCCGAGATGAAGATGTACGAGCAGCTGCATCAAAGCTACGCTAATTTTGGCTCGCCCCATCATCCGCACGCCCACTCGGCGCCACCCGGCCACCATCATCACAACGGTATGCACGCCGGGACCACCGCCGCCGGCCCGATGCACATGACGAATCATCATCACCAGGAGTATTACCAGAGCCCGCATTATCATCACGCGACCAGCGTCGCCACCACGAGCGCGCCGCCGCCGCCCGCAGTCGCTACCGCGGCGCCGGGCTTGTGACATCACGCCACCCACCCTTACGCTTTGGCCTGAGTCGCTGCCGCCGCGGCATACGTCGCCAGCGCTGCCGCACCCCCAATGCCACCCCCGAGCACCCCGGATCTGTCGTCGACCGCGACCACCGCGGCGCCGACGGGGACGTCGTCGTCCCCCACGACCACCCTGTCGACCGTCTCGTCGTCGCCGCGTGCGCAACCACGCCGGCGCGCCCGTCGTCCCGAGAACGACGACGACATCGTCGACGCCGTCGTATGCTGGCCGCCCGACGACGACGACGAGTACGACGACGAGGACGAGGACGAGGAGAGCGTCGTCTACAGACGGTAGAGTTAGGATTTCCGCCGGGAGAGGTAGGATCCCCAAAAGGGTATTTCGGCTCGCTCTGTGTGTTACACGGTTCATCGTCTCGGATCGGATTGTTAGGGGATAGGAAATAAGGGTTGTTATATATTTTCAAGGTTAATATATAGATGTGGTATATTAGCGTGTTCAGAAATTTATACTATGGGGAATTATTCAATATTTTCCTGTTTTGTATATTGGGTGGATCGAAATTTGTGCGAAACATTTTTTAGGGGATGGTTTCTTATATTGAAGTTCAGATTTGATGAAAATATTAATATGGGTTATTTATTTCGGATTCTTTATAAGGGTACCGAAAAAAAAAATTGTTTTAAATAAATATGAAAAAAGTGATCCGATTGCTAGTTGGAATATTGAAATAAAGATACCAGAGAATTAATTGACCAATACTGGTTAAGGTGAAAAATCTTTTATTTCGACCCCGAAGCCTGAAGAGGACCCAATTCGGGGTCGAAATAAAAGGATTTTTCACTTTAGCCAGTGTTGGTCGATTAATTCCCTGGTATCTTTATTTCAATAAATATTTTTTTATTAGTGGAAAATGTTTACCAAATTTTATTTTTTTAATTTGTCTCAAATTTTAAAAAACTGAAATTTTACTTCCCTCTTTAGAAAAGTATGTAATTCCTCAGAGAGAGAGAGTTATGAGTTATATAAGAATCTCCCTCTTAATTTTCGACAAAGAATCATCTAAAATTTTTCGCACTTATTTAGATACATCCTGTATATTCTCTCTCTTTTATATTTTTTCTTTCATCTACATTTTTCTCTTATATTCTTTCTTTTTCTGTTCCTTTTTTTCGCTTGACTTTAAATCATCTTTGACGCGCGCGCTTTGAGTATTATATAATGATTGAAATATTATTCGCAAATAAATTCAAATACTGAATTACGAGATGACGATACAAAGATTCAAAATAAAGGGAAACTAAAAAAACATATACACGATTGACATCAAGACATTACTTTTCTTATGCTACAATAATTAAAAATGGATAACATCACTAATTTCTCTTTATCTACATACAAACATTGTACTATTTGTATAAATCAAACAGTGTTGTATCTATATTTGCCCTTATATATATATATATATATATATATATATATATATATATGTTATTGACAAAAATTATGCATAAAAGAAAATTTATTATTTTTTTAATTTAGCATTTATCACGTCACACATTTTATGAACAATTTTTGATAAATATATTTAATAAAAAAAGAGAATATAGAGATCGCGCATAGCGTTTCAAATAAAGACTTATAAAAAGCAAAAACAGTATTTACATTTGACTTCCAAACTTTAATGATAGGGAGGTCACATTACTGTGTATTATCCTTTGACAGAAGCGAATGGGAAAATAATATTTACATACTTACACACAATCTTCGTTGCTCGTATTAAACTTATGTTCGTTACTGTATGTTGTCACTCAAACTGACAATGACTTGGTAAGCATCGTTTCAAGTACAATTGCAAACAACAATCACGATAAAATAGATTAAAAGCCCACTTTAGACGATCTTTAATTTGCGACAGAATTCTTATTCATAATTTCGGCCTACGATATAGAAAATACGTTCGTCCAAATCAGATTACGTGACATACGAGATAAAATTATAATGTAATAATATAATTTTATGTCATTCGTTCTTTTTCGTGGGAAAGAAAATCAGGCGAGTCGAGTTATTCATTCTGGTTCTAAAAAATTATTATCGTCATTTTTATCACAATGCCATTCTGTTGAATTTATCTCGTCTACATCGGAAAAGGTGTTTGAGAAAAATGTGCGTGAACGTGCAGGAATCCCCTGAATCATTGCATTTTTATATTATCGCGTTTGTCGTATCTTTCAATATAATTGATTTCGTTTCAAATTTTTTTATGGACATGCACGAAAATGCATTTTAACGCGGTGATGCACCTCATCGCCATGTTCCATTTCTTGCATATCATGTCAAGATTACGTAATCGGCACACACATTTGAGAATTTATAGGCAATAACCATTTTTACATAATAAAAAACAAAAATCCATTAAAATTATTGAGAAAATGTATTAATTTGGACTAATGTGTGTTAAATTAATTAAAATGCAATAAAATAGGACTGTCAGATTTATTTTACGGACTTTTACTTATTGTTAGAGAAATAAAGTTCCCAAAATAAATATTAGAACATTAAAAGAAAAAAATTGTGACAATATTGTCTGTTATTATTGTTAATAATATTCAGATTTTATAAATATTTTCAAGTAAAAATTAATAACATTTATATTCAATAAAACTATCCGGTTTCTTCCGTATATGATAATTACAAATATTATCATCCATTATTATTAGCCGCTGTTTTTCTTTTTTTCTCTCAATCAATCTAATCACTTCGTTCATTCTATTTTGCTTCTTTTTTTAAGTTGACTATTTGAAATACTGTTTTGTTGTGTAATATTATAGCAATATCTATTATGTTAAAGGAAATAATATTAATCACATTTCATCAATGAAAATTTTGAATCAAACTTGTTTCTAAAATAATTTTACTGAATGCAATTAAAATTCAAATTACATTACATTAAAATAAAATTAATTAAAATTCATAATTTTTAGCAATCCAAATGTTACATGTGACAATAATTACAGAGCGATAGGAGATGCTTAAAACGGAGAAAAATCTAAAAGATATCTTTCGCTTTTCACTAATCCTTCTATAAGCTTATTAGACAAGACATTAATCGATTTCGAAACAAAGTATTATATGTTGATTAAATATTGAACGTTTCTTACAGAATTATATTATTCATGTCAATAATGTACATCTATGTTGAATCAGTCAGTGATCTCGATTTTCTTTCATTAAGCATTTCTTATTGTTCTCTATTTATTGTCGCATTTATTTACGTGTTGCATGTAACATGTAAATTGTTGACAATTATCTTTTTTATTATTTTATTTGTTTCTCGCTTTATGCTATATATTAACATCTTTACCTTATTTTGTTATTATTTTGACATATTACTAAAAACAAAACTTGCACTATGATTAATATTGCATCTTTTATATTAACTTAATTTGAAAACACTTTATTATAAAAAGTAAGAAAAAAATTTCCAGAACAAATTTGATTCGAAGAGTTTATTAATAATATTGAAATAAACAGTTTATATATATTAATAATATTGACACAAGATTGTGATTTACAATTTTTCCTTACACATATTTTATATAGATATTGCTACAATAATAACACAATTAAGAGATATTTCAAATAATCTAATTAGATGAAATAAGATTCCCTAATAGAGAATTCTCCTTAGAAATAATATAAGATAATATTTTATATAAATAATAATTTGTTCTCTCTAAATTTGAATTAGAATTTGGCTTTTAAAGATTTTAGTTTTTCGATGTACTCACATAAGAGTCACTCATGTCCGATTAAAGAGAATCGCTTAATAGTATAATGAATTAAAAATAATTTAGCGACTTTCTCGTTACACAAACGAACTCGCGACGATGAACCTCGGTGCCTCGAAATACCCTCGATTAATATTCAAAGAACGACCTCGTCGAGAAATGGGGGTTGTCGCGCGTCATGGAAAATTAGCGGCGTAAGCCTCGAAAAGCAGTGCCAGGCAAAAAGTGAGAGCGGTGTCGGATGAACAAAACTTGTGATACTATACGTGAAAATAAATATAAATTAATGGACGAGTATATACGCGCGCGTTGCGTATAAATATAATTATATTCGAGCACCCGTGAGACTCTCTCGCGCGCATAGTCCGCGCATTCGCACACCACGTACACAAAAATACACACACACACACACACATACATTCACGAACGGTGTACGAATGCGCGTCATTCGAGACAGGTGAGAACGTCGAGTAAATAATTAATTCGTTTTAAGAGCGTCACGCGGGAGACGCCCCGCGTTTTTGTATAATAACTGTAGATAGCCGTATATATATCGTAATGCGCATATGATGTACAATATTATATGTTAAAGAGAGGTATATATACATACGATTATATATAGCTATATATATATATAAATATATATATAAATGGAATCTTTATCGCGATACTATATTATATAACAAGTCCATTTTTGACGATCTATATAATAGGTGAACAAATTCGGGATGCAATTGAAATTTTTCATGCCGCGCATTTCTGATACGTGTCCTGTGTATATGTATATTTTTTGCTTCTCGAAAGAAACATGTTTTCTACATATATATATATATATATATATATATATATATATACTATACGGCACGAAAAGTTTTCTTTCGAATTCTATCGTATATTATAGATCGTCTAAAGTGCGCTTTAGGTGCATACATATAATAGAATTTAAGAGAGTGAATGAAATAAAGAAGAAGAGAGAATAGAAAGAGAGAGAGAAAGAGAGAGAGCGCGAAAATAATAGAGAGAAAGAGTGAGAGAGAGAGAGAGAAAAATCAAGTTAGACAAACGTGATACTTTGCATTGTGCATTTCGAAAGCATACTTTTTAGACTGTCACACACGTATTCGCTTTGCAGATCGCTATAGAGAACTGTTTATGAGATTTTATTTTTCGAGGAGGTTCATTTGGGGAGTGAGTAAAAGGTATACACGATATTGTATATATATTGTTTATGTAAAGTGACGCGTGTACATAATCTCGAAAATACAATGTAGTGTAAAGTTAGACGGTTCTATTCGAATTGGGTTTTTAATTAATTTTTAATTAATTTGGATATTTGCAAATTAAATTGCCAAGCGCAAGGAATGACGTGATTTTGTTCACGATTTTTATTTAGTCTCGGAATCATCCTAAACAGATCTCTCTTGCAATTACTACGTTACAAGATAATGTACGATCATCTACATTAGAGAACAATTGGCACGTCATTAGATCATCATCTATTTAAATGTACGACAATTAATTCGAAGAAACACGTTGTACACTAATAAAATAATTATCGAAACTGATTCTAACAACTAGATGCATATTATCAACTTTTGATTATTGATAGCTAGTTGCTATCATTAAGAAGCTTAAAGCTATTATGAGCCGCGCCTGCTTATCGATTCGATAAACAACTCGACTACAAAGTTAAAAGTCAGATCGATGGCTTTTTGACCAAAAGTATCAAGTTGATGATCGAGAAAAAACCGTCTCGATTTTAAATTTATGTATAATATATTATAATCAATATTATATTTTTATTTTATATATTAATATGTGTTATACAGTTATATAATATATTAGCTCAATATATAATATATATTCTATTATATATTATATTATATATTATATTGTATAAATATTAATATATTTAATAATATAATATATATGTATAATAAATAATAATTTCATTAATATATATATATATATTATATAATTTATTATACATAAATTTATATTTTTGAAGCGTGACTGTTGATCGACCGTCTGCGTGAGTCCTCGAAATCTTTAAGTTGATAAAAAATCGTTAATATTACTCGACATCGATTAAAGTTTAGTCGATGTAAAGATGATAATATGCGCCC